TTGAAACAAAACTAGTATCCACCACAATCATATCCGTTAACAGGTGATAAAACTTACCATAAAATAATACAATAAACTATACACGATTGATTTAAAATGTCGCTGTCACTGACAGTATTTTCAACCATAGAAGGTGAGAGTTGAATAAAGAGAGTGAAATATTCTAATCTAATCTTTGTACACAGTATAAATATTTTCTTGTGCCAGAGTGGATTCTTTACATTTTAGATGCCTATCACAACAAAACTCAGTTAAAATAGTATTTTTCTAAAGGCCTAATCCCCGTGGATCCTGATTTTCATTGTCACCATCATCAAAAGCAGCCCCAACCTCTAATTTGCTGGTAAGCCCTTACAAGTAAAACGCAGACTTTTCCTCTGTCATTGGGTTGTATAATTTCCTATGGTGATTTAAGCATGACTGGTTTATAATTGTACACTTGTAAGCTTAATCATTGAAAAAATATTGGATATTTTGCATAATTACAATAAACTAACACTTTTATCTCCACTGTAGGGAATGAAATATTTTACACAAAATATTAATTCCCACAAACAAAATCCGGAAGGAATAACTAAAAGACTAACCTCAACCATGTCAGTGGATAATGTGATTAGAACGCAGGCAAACGCAGCCTGTAGCATGTGACGAAGGGAGAGCAGAAACCGAGGCAGATAGTCTGGCTGAGGCCACAACGGGGAACCGAGGCTGTGTAGAACGATCCGCAGAACTGTCCTGCGTGGCTGCGCGAGCTTCACACTGTGACCTTGCTTCTGTATGTGGCTGTACAGGTCTGACAGAAGCGCAGAATACGGATTCTCACAGTCTGTTAGGAGATTTAACAGAATCATAATTCAAATCATTCACAATTTAGAAAATAATTAGAATTGACCATACCACTAGACAGGCAGTTATATGGGATAGAATTAAACACAAAAAATGTACAGTGTAATAAACGTTGTCTAGCTATTATCATTGTCATCTACTCCAATTTCAGCCAAATACTGAACATTTCCCTGTAGTCAAGTATACATCATTGTTCTCTACGATTGGGGAAAAATCCTGATCATCTACCGCAGTCATATAAATATCATCATCGCCTCTCACTTACATAGATTTCACGATCACTTATTGTCATCATCTGCTGCGGCAAAAGCGTTAATTTTTTGACTACACACTATTTGCAGACAAGCCCTGCAATCGCGATTGTTAAAGCTGGGTTCAAGCTCGATTTTCAAACTTGGTGCTTGATCTTGTAGGCTGAGTAAATCGATCCGCTAGCACATTTCTGGTATTATTTAGTTCCTCAAGTCAAATTTAAAATATTTCAATACACGATAATAGAAACGTTATATCAATTCTAGCAACAAACTTGAACTAATTTGTAGTTAGTAAGTTTTCTGGAGTACCGGTAGGTAAATCAGTTGTGTAAATTCTTAAGATTACTCAGTGATGGATCACCGATTTCTCTACAGAAATAAATAATACTTTGTACAGAACAATCACGAACAATCTAATCAATTGAGTTACGAACTCACTTGTGTCGTAAGGCCAGTGAGTGATCTCTGCATTGTCAAGGACCTCTTTGCTGTAAGGACTTGTCAGGTCAAAGTTGTGGCCGAACACAGGAGCTCCTGACAAAGACGGACTTGACTGCACCATCGGAGTGTCTCGATACCTTGACAAACACATACAAGTACCTCTTGTTAGTTTACAGCAATCATCAAAGATAACTGGTATATAAAAAGGAACAAAATTAAGAGAAAGGAAATTAGTAATTAGATCTTCATATAAAAATTTTTACATCTAATTTTGATTACCTTAAAAGTTTAGCACATTGACAAGAACGTTGCACGGTTCTTCAAACAACCTGGCCAACAGTCGGCTCGAAAGATCAGTTCAGACCTAAAAAATTGAGCTATATTTGTATACATATGAGTCAGCCCAATTTTTTAGGTCCGAACCCGAAATCTTTCGAGCCGACTGTTGGCCAGACTTGAAAATATCCAGACCCACAGATCCCTAGTTCTTCCAAACTTAACCATTTTCGCCTTTTTTTGGTACATAAAATTGTTTGGCTCATAAAATTGCTTGATAACTGCAAAACTTACCTCCAAGCAATCTTTAGGTCATCAGCATTTTGATCAGAAGATCTTGAAGACACTGAGAATTCTACAGGGCTGGGCAAATCTTTCACCTACGACCAATATAGTCAATCTTGGATGAATTATTTAATATTGCTATAAAGAAGTGTAGCAAACTATAGATTCCTAAAACAATAGCCGCGACAATACTACAAAGAAATTAGAATCAAAGTGGCCAAACAGTATCAATAATTTTGGGGTTAAGACATAAGGCCATGGCCCAACTATTCTTCAGCACCAGTGTGCAGTGTAAGTAAGCTGTTTATAGGTCGGCCGCTTGGAAAGCCAGCTAGTACCAAGGCACGGCGCCGCCCCGGTGTCGTGGGAGTTGGAATCCTGTGTTACCAAATGGAACTGCTTACACATACACCGTCACAGCAGAGCCTAGCCGCCGTTGCTGTTGCCGGTTTGTCATTGGCAGCATCGCTCCCGCCGGTGCGGTTGGCCGGTTTTCTGAAGTTATTGAAAACCATAGTTTTCAACCCGTACTGGCAGCGGAGTGGGGAAAGGGCCATAGTCTGTCTCACTCCCACAGCTCAGTATCTCTCTCTCGCACTACTGCTACAAGGAGCTCGCTTTCTAAGCGGCCGACCTATAGTATTGTTTTCAGGATTTTTTATTAGGATCAGGCTTCCTTGAATGGGAATGAGTCTAAACTGGTACAGGATACACAAAACCCATTCAGGTAAGCCTGCTCTCCTCATAAAAAAATCCTTGAAACCTAAGCCTTTGTGCTCTATGTTACAACCTTAACCTCATGTTTAGTATTGTTTGTTACACTGAATTCTGTTGAGATATTCGTTGTACTAATTAACTTTTGTTGGTAATCTTGAATGTTCTTTAACAGGCCTAAGAGAGGGGCGGTTACAACTGAAGAAAAGTTACGTACCGTACTTAAATGAGTAAAAAGGTGAGAATCTAAATAAGTTTGAGATATATGTTGTATTTTACCCAATAAATATGAATGAACTTACCAATTGTCGTGTGTCACAATCAATGCTGGCAATATAGAGGCAATGTTTACAAGCGATTCCTTCAGCAAGGAAATATTTTGCTAGGTATTTGCTGAAAACACCGAATTCATCTTCCTCTGTAAATAAGAATCAATAAATTATAAAAATAAGATTAAAACTTTATATTTTGGCAATATTTTTAACAATACATTGTAGATACAAAGTTGAATGAAAAGGTTTCAATATTAATTATTTTAAATAGGCTAAATAGAAAACAAATTTTAAACTTAAACCTAAAATGTTCATCTTTAAGGTTTGTGAAAGGAATCTGAATAATTTACTAAGCTAAATGCATTTTTCTGATAATTTATTGATCTTTATGATAATTTAGTTGAAAAAAGTAACGGTCTCTTAGTTTATAACTAAGGAAGTTTTTTGAATGTCTTCTTATAATGATGAATTCCGTCTAATAAGTCTAAAAATTTCAACCTAATTAGGCCTATACACAATTTTTTAAACGTACAGATGAAAAAGTAGGCCTATTCAAGATAGTGTTATGACATTTTATTGTAAAAATTTTGTACCGTAGTAGTTTTGAAATAAAAAATAATTAGCCAAATCTAAGATCATAGATGTAATATCGTACCGTACCCTGGATGATGTGAAATGAGAATGAGGTAGGGTAGGTACCTATTTTATTAGATCATTACAAATGAAAAGTTTGTTCGAGATAGCGTGGTTCTGTTCTCATTAACATAAACTGACTCACCAATGAGAAAAATAGATCCTAGTGGCAAACCGCCTCCTGAAAAAGATTAAAATTGATACATAAAACCTGTGTAATGTATTAAATTCTAGATGAACAACCTGATCAATTGGTGGCTACAACATTGTCACATAAATAAACCTAAGTTTAATCAACATTACATCAGGCTGTAAGGTAACTATTCAAGTAGGCCTATCATGGATTAAGTTAAATAAGGTGAAAAAATTGTCTTTGAAATAAGCGCTTTGAAAATAGATACTTTGGTATTATCTGGAGGCCACGTATTTGAGAGGGATTTTTTTACCGGGTACTACCAAAAATAACTAAATAATTAGAAAGAAATTATTTTAATTACCGACTTACTGTCCAAATTTGGTATGATTGTGAATAGCGACCTTTGAATTCTGCCTATAGAAGGCAGTGATGTTGGCGAGAATTGAGTTGAATGTGTCGCTGCCGCTAGCTGCCACATGAACTCCGCCAAGTAGGTAAAACAGCAGCGCTGCAGCGGTTATGTTAGGTTGGGTCATTATAAATTAATATTACAAAAACTTAACTTACCATTCACTAATAGGCTTGGTGCATGTTAGATAATGAATGTGTTTTTTTTTAGAATTTTTACCTTGGTAAACCCACCTTTGTATATATTTACTAGTAAATAACATGTTTTACAGAGTAAGATTTAATTGAAAAAAACGATAACCTAGGCCTATTATGCACTTACTAAATGTAATTTTAACCAATGATATTTTTGTAGACAAGTGTGCCGTTGTCTAAAAACGTGTTCCAGTTAGTTTGCGAGTGTGAATGCGAGTGTGCGTGTGCGGCACTGCGGTGCCGTGCCCTGAACGGAAATAAAAAAGGTTAGGAAACAACGGAAATGCTGCCATAGGCCTATGTTCAGGTGATCTAACCTATAATATTATTACGCGACTGACCAATCAATGAATCCAAAGAAAGCACCCCACTTGAGATAAGAACTTGATCCTTAATAGACACAACTTTGGTTCCCGGTAAATTATGATACTTTCTTCCCCTATCATCTTTTAAAACAAATTTCGGAGTGTCGATACTTTCCATTCTAATTAACCGCTTCTGCTTCTGCTTTCTGCCACCTGCCGTTCTGCCTTCTGCTAGTGCTAATCTGGCAATCTGCTCTGCTCTGAGCTTCACTTCAGTCAGTTCAGTTCAGTTCACGCTGCCGACAGCAAGACATTGGATTGGCAAACAAACAAAACAAACATTTTCTTTTAGAGTTCGTCGTTGAAAGCTGGCTCAATTTAGACAACCATGCAACTACACTGTCTAGTCCAAAACGCTGATTCAGTTTCAAATTAAAGGTGGCCGTGGTTTCGGTGTTTTATATTATACTCGTATGTTTTTGGTTGGTGGTATGTCAGTTAGTTCACGGAATTATATGCAATAAGGCTTTTGGTGTTGTCATAAAGTTTCCAATGTGCTACAGGGAACTCAGCAAAATTATTTTCATTATATTTATGACTTGTCACTAAAAGGCCATACATTGCCTTCACCTTTTCACAGGTGACTCTATCCTATTGTTGAGACGTGTTTATGACATATCAGCCTTTCGAGGTGAAGCTGACAACTAATGGAGCTGGTCAAAGGTTGGTTTACTGTACTACGAATCATCTCCTAGTCAACGTGGATAAAACAGTTTCAACAGTTATGTACTCTAAAACCAACGATTGGTCTGAAAGAGACTGTCAAGCGTCTTGGTTCCTGGTTGATCCAAATACTCAACTGGAACCACCACCATCTGTCAGCTATGTGCGTGAAGTAACAAACAATGGATATAATCTACGGTGAAACTCACATGATTCTTTTTAGCGAATTTCCCAATACGGGGAATAAGCTATTACCGTAGTACTCATGGTAAGACCTGGACCTGTACTCATGGTAAGGAACATTTTGACCTTAGTCACTAACAAGACTACAAGATCGCACCACTCATCCTACGCTCATCCCCATTCATTCTTGGCTTAAAATGCCTATACATTCGTATGGTCGCCATTTCAGATTAAAGTATTCAAGTATTAAGTCTACTACTACTGCACAGTATTCATGTTATCTACGTTCTGGTTAGCTGGGTTCACTCTCCTGCTGAATGCGGGGTGCTGCTTTTCCGAAAAAGTTACTGAAAACTTCAATATTCTCTGCGTCACGCGAGCTCTAACGGCTTATTTTTCAATAACGTGGGACTCATTTATTTATCAGCATGTACTTATTAAAACCTCAGATACTTTTGGTCTTAGTGGAGATATTCGCAGACATGGTGTGTGACATTGATTGTTAAACATGAGGAGGTAAATATTGTGTATAAACAGTCAATAAGTGCTGTTTTCATCGTGACTTTTGGACCTTCTTAGTTACCGTTCCAGTTCGTCACACCCTAATATATAACCATTCTCGTTTACTTAGTCTACTACAACACCCTAAATGCTGTAGATAAAGTTAACATGAAAGGTGAGTATTAAGCACCTTCAATGTTGCTTTGAAGTTCAAAATTTGCAGACCACTACTGTGATTTTCCGATCTGATGGTAGAACTAAATAGCATTCCACTATTTCTTACACAAAGCCACAGCTTATTTATTTTAGTTTTGTCTTAACGTAACATTTTTCATCAGCCAAGTGTTTTATTATAGTAAATAAAAATTATGTTGATTTGATGTTGAAGTATACTCCTTGTCGTTATGTAAGACGTTATATTAATACGTGTACTCATCTCTCTGTTTAAACTTTGAAAATACATCCTCTGAGAATCATAATCAAACAAGAAGTCATCAAAAGTAATCACTTTAAAGCCCTCCCCGTGCCCCAGTGAGTTCACCACTCCCACATACCAAAGCACAAAAAACACACTTGAAAAATGTATTCCAAAGATGAAATAACATTTTTAACAAAGGTTGAGGTGGTTTGATTCAGCACTATCTTAATAAACGAGTTTTTGAGTAGTCGTATTTATATCAGCACAAGAGAGTCAGCTATTATGCTATTAGTACAATTTCTTTATTGGTATTCAAGTAAGATTTTGTATACTAGCTTAATAATTGTGATTTGATAATTTATTTTTTCTGTATGGTTTGCTGTTAATTTATTGTTTGAAATGATGTGATATATATTAAATTCAAGCAAATAAGTTTTTTGAAAATGCATGGGAGAAATCCTATTGTAATTTTCTACTGAATGGCTAATGAATGAATCTTTTGAATCGTTGTTGAACTGGCTATTACTTCTTCACAACGGGATAAGGAAGCATAATAGAGGGATGGCGTTCTTTAAATCTACTGCAAAAATCTACATTAAATTTGGCAATGATAATATAAACAGCATTTATCAACGACCTCCTGGACGTGATATATGTCGACGCTCTACAATTTGCAGATGACCTGAAGATATTTGTGATGTGGAAAGCGAAAAGAAGGCCTCTTGTCGGCGATGCAAAATTTTCAGTTCGGCCGATATAAGTAATTAAGGTCAAAAATATCGAAATTCGGGTTTTTATCGATTGTTATACCTCATTTAACATAGAACAGGACAGTATCGGTAAAAAATATCGAATTGAAGATGTAAAAGTTCGAAATAAATAATTTTGTTAGCCTCTGCACGGTCTAAGAAAATGGACCTTTTGTCGCTCAATGTTATTTCGCCATAACGACAAGAGGTCCCATTTCCAATATTCACTTTATAAACAGAATTTAGTCCAAAAAATGAATTGTCCTGCATTTTATTGAAAATTTAGAGAACTACAACGAATTCAGTTTACGGAGAACAAAATATCTCACAAATTTTAAAGTCCCGACAAGAGGTACCTTTTCTTGTCTTAAGGATAAATAACATGGGGCCGACAAGAGGTCCCTTTTCTGAAGTGCAATTTTTACGACATGCTTCGATAAAACAATTATTTTAATTAAAACTACCGTGAGTTAAGAAAAAAATTGGTATTGTCTCCAAAGAAGACATTATAAGCTTTCTTTTGATACCAAAATCGTTTCTTAAATACGAAAAAAACTGTATTTATGCGTATTTGAAATTTTCAAAATAGTTTTTCTCAAAATTACCATTTTCCATAACCAAATTTCAAAGTTCTATAACTTTAACAACAGAAATCGCAGATGCATGGGACTTGCACCAAGTAATTCAGAATTTAATGAGGAATTCAAATATATATATATAACTCAAAATCGAAAATTCCCGACAAGAGGTCCCTATTCGCTTTCCACATCACATTTACAGGAGTAAAATCGCATAAATATCATCAGAAGCTGCAGCACAGTCCCTCTGCAATTGAGGAGTGGTGCATTGCCAATGGCATGTTCGTCAATCCCAGCAAATGCTCTATGATAACATTCTGACGATCAAAGTCTTCAGCTGAATACCAGTACTTGATCTCGGGTATTCAAATCCCAAAAGTCCAGAAAATATAAAGGACTTGAATCACCAACCCAAGAGCTCTCCGGTCCCTCTTTTGTTCACTCGTCCGTCAACTTCTTGAATACGCCAGCCCTGTCTGGTCCCCTTACACGCGGCCCTGGCCAAAATCAGACTGGAGTCCATGCAGCGGCGCTTTATTCGTCTAGCCGGAGTTCGACTTGGCTATGTGTACTTGAGGTGCAAGTTGATGAACTTGTCGGCCTTAGTCAGTCACTATCAAGACTACAAGATCGCGCCACTTATCCTACTTTCTTACACTCATCTCCATTCATACTTGGCTTAAAATACCTACATGGTCACCATTTCATTGAAAAGGTATAAAAAAGTATCAATCAACGCAATTTAAAATCTATCTTTTTCTAGTCTTTTTGTATGTTATATTTTTGTGTAAACTATTTTTCTTTGATTCGTTATTGTATAATGGCTATTTGCCGTAGGAATAAATAAATAAATAAAACATTAAAACTTACTATTCAAAAGCTTATCTACAAACTTCTCTCGTGGTGGAAGGAAAACCTGTTTTCCTTCAATCATTATTTTATCCTCTAGTATTTAAACACAAATTCATTAGACATCACTTAGATTTACAATCATATTATAGGAGAAAAACCCTTAAATAAGATATTATAAGAAGGCTCCATGCCCTATTGTAAAATAAGTTTTTAATCAATCACTAGAGTGTGGGATTGTTATGATTAATTGGTTGGTTTCATAGAAGCATAAAAAAGTTACATTGCAGTTATTGGTGTTCGCCGTGGTCGAAGGAAAGGATGGTGGTGTTTTTTTTTTTTTGTATGAGTAATCCGGGTTTACTACACTGTTTACTACTATTGGTTGGGGTTGGGATTGGCCCTGGATTCACTCGGATTCAGTCAGAGTCAGATTCACATAGGATAGGCTTAGGCTCAGGCTGCAGAAGTGCAGAGCTGCTCTTTACCGTTTACCGTTTCATCAAATTTATTGAAATCCACTGAACACAGAAGGGAACTACTGTAAACTGTATTTGTATTTATTTATATAATAAGCTAGGTTATTAGTGTTGTTGACTTGCGTTTGTTTATTATTAGGGATTGAGTTGTTTATAACTTATCGTTGTTTGGGATCAATATTGCAAACTCTAGGGTCAATCAATGTTAGGTTAGGTAGGGTAGTAAAACACAGAATCACTCCAAAAATATCTTTATTTATGCATAAGCTTGACATTTCCCCTCTCAGTTACAAACAAAACCTGTCTTGCAACATCAATTAGAACCAAAGTTTGGAATGAGTGAGTGAGCTTCACATGCCATGGATGCAGCTAGCTTGTAATGGTGATGGCTATGAGCTTCTAGGCAGCTCAGAAGTCAGTTTTGGGTCTCTTGGCTACCCATTGTTGGATCTTGGGCAGGTTTAGTATGCTTTGCTTCAGCTTGTGCAGATTAGGATAATCAGCAGTGACATCAGGCAGGCCTGTGGTGAAGTTGAGAAAGTCTGTGATGGTGACAAATAAGAAGTCCACCCAGGAAAGCTGGAACATATCACAGTTGTAGGTTTAATCAAGTAAATTTACAAACTGAAAAATGACTAAGGAGAAAACACTCAACTAATCACCTTAGCAAATTGTATGTACGGTACCTAGGCTATCAGAAATAGGGTAGAGCAAGTTACTACTTAGTTAGGTCTAGTGGAGCATTGCTTATTTATTGGCTACTCAGACGAAAGATAAACCTATGGTAGTTCTAAGCTTAATCCTAAAACCGGTTACCAGTACCTAAAGCAACATTATGTACGTTTGACGCATGTGTTAAGTAGTTCCATGGAATCCCTCGCAAAAGTTGGTAGGCCTATAGGTTATAGGAAAATCGAAGAGAGGAATTAAATGAGATTGGTTTATTAGCAAAACAAAAGATGGTATTGCCTAACTTAGCTTTCATCTTTCTGTTGACAGTTGACTTTTCACCAACGGGTCATTCCATATCAAATCAACTAGGCTCTCAACCTGACCATCTTGGATTTTGATGAAATTTTGCATACTTGTAAGGTAAATGCCCCAAATACCAACACCCTAAGACTCAATTCAAGTTTACATCTGCAAATAAATAATTATAGGTTATGTTAAGCTTGAGTATTATGGAGTTAATAATTTTGCCATGATATAAACTCTCAGATTACATAAATAGATAAAAGAAAAACATCCAATTAACAGTTTTTAAGCATCTTAAAGTTGGGGAAACACTCTTTGTACTTTTCTGGAAATACCGACAGCAATGAAACAAAATACCGACACCTCATGTCCTAAATACCAACATTATCATTTTAACACCAATTTAAGAGAGAACAGGAACATTATCATCATAATAAAGTATTTTTATTGAAGTTTGTGTATTCATTTAACCTATTCCACAACTTTATTTCAATATTTTGTCCCTATCCATCCCAAAAAGTAAAAGTTAAGACTTGAACATTCTCCAACTTACGGTAACTATGGTAACTTACTTCCCAATTTTATTGAAAACCACTTAGACAAAGTACGTAAAAATTTGTTTATGTTTGGCAAATGTAAATTAAGTAGTCTCTGTATTAATTATGTGCGAAATTGTAAACATATATCGACATCTGATGAAAATTCACTACGATGTAAGAGCAGCAGCAGCAGCCGACGCGACTGACGCTGGCAATGCTGTCTACAGCTGGAGCTGCCTACTTGATAAGCTGTTACGCAAGTTTCTGTGTTTAACTTATTCAATTATAGTACTGTATGACTTCTTTGGTAAAATATAATTCCAATAAAACTGGAACAAGTAAGTATTTAATGAAACATGAAAAAGTAACTTAAAACCATTGACGTATTTAAGTTTACATTTTGGATTGGCCTACCCTTAGTATTAAGATATTATTTACAAAAACATACAGAAAATACAAATACATACATATACAGAAATACAGCTACAGAAGTACAGTTACAGAAATATACACAGACAAATAGAAGAACAAATACAAATAGAAAATATAAAAATAAAACACGCACACACACACACAGATCTTAGAATGCTTTAAAATATTGTACAAATGTTAAAATACTCAAGCAAACACACACACTCTCTATCTCTTACAACTGAAATCTATAATGTCCACGCCGATCAAAAATTGGTTCACTTAAAATTGTGACAATTTCGTCGAGAGGAACCTCGTCGACGTCGTCATTCTCTGGCCAAACGAATGTATCTCCTACTTGGGCAAGAAATTGTATATTGCCAGTCTTCTCCTCGCCGTTGACATCAAGTAGCTGGCCTATGTACCGCTTGGTGCCATATGGAACAATCACCCACTTCCCAACACTAAAGTCCTCGAAGCAGAGCTTCGGATTCACAGGCACCTTGTCGATGTTGAATGAACTTGGTGCCATTGATACATCCAATCCTAGATCTTCGGAGTCGGACGAAAGTGGGGAAACATCTTCCTTTTCAGTCTTTTTTCTAGGCCCACTGACCTTTTCTTTTTTAATTTTCATGGCCACTTTTTTCATTTCTTGTTTTTCTCTTCTTTTTTGTCTTCTTTCTTCCATTTCCTTTTCTTTTTTTTCTTTTTCAGCCACCAATGTCTTTCGGTACTCCTTCCATTTTATACATGTTATTACTGAAGGGACTTTTGCCGTTTTTGTCCTCCTTTTAATCCCAGATTCCTTTTTGGGCCCAGGCCAAAATACGCAGTCTTTGAAGGGCGACGGAATACTGCTTGTGTCCTCTTGGACAGCAGATGTAGATGGCTGGGCGTCTTCTTGAACAGATGTCGATGGCCGAGATGTAGGGGTAACTGCCCTGGCACATGTTACAGGTGGGGTCGATCCAATGTTGGCAGGGATTTGTTGAACAGGTTCGGACACCACGGTAACAGGGAGATCGAGTTCCAAACCCATTGATACATCCAATCCTAGATCTTCAAAAAGTCCCTCGTCCACAAATATTTCTTCCTCTAATTCAATATTTGATGAACAATCGATGAGGACGTTTGGCTCTTGTTGGATTGTTGTGGGCATCATTGGATCTGGATCATCTGGGTCGTCTGGGTCGTTGCAGACAACCTCTTCCATATCCATGCGGGTACTATTTACAAAATCAAGAGGTCGATGTTCCTCAACAGAGTTTGTAGTTTTGTTAGAATCACTACAATTACTTTGGTCAATGCTTGTTTTAAGGTCTTGCCGAATGCTCCTCCACACTTCATACAGCGATTCATCACGACGCTTTATAGGTCCACCATGTCTAAACGCCTTTAACCTGTCATGGCCTATTTTCTTCTCAAGATGAGCGAGGCAGATGTTTACTCTCTCGGTTTCTACATTAGACTGTTGTGTTAGGGGTTTTGGGTTTTGGGCCAAGTTACCTACAATTTTGGTCATGTCAATGTCATTGACATCTAACGTAACTAGACCGCATGTTTTAAAACCATTCTGAATGGTTTCTGGCTTGATTGTCCTTTCAATCACTGACTGCAGCATCGGAGGAAAGTCTTCTTTCTTTAGCTTTTGTGAGGAGTGGTCAAACCTCCATTGGGACACTGCTTTTTTCCACGCATTTTTCAGTGGGTGGAAAACCGCGACGTCTAGAGGCTGCAGCAGATGTGTAGCATTGGGCAAAAGGGCGACAAGTTCAATCTTCTTTGAGGTACAAAACTCACTAAGCTCAAGAGACAGATGTGATACGTGGCCATCCATGAACATTATCACAGGTCTCGGAATATTATTTGCAGTTAGGTAAGGTTCAAATGTGTTGGCCATGTATTCAAAAAAAGCTTCAGATGTCATCCAACCTGATTCACTCTTCCCCAAACCCCACCCATCTGGCACAGCCATCCCTACTTGCAAAGGGATTCTCTCGTAAGCGTATAGAATCATTGGTGGTGCTACCTCCCCATCTGCTCTCACAGTCATTAGAACTGTGACGTTTTCCTTGTCTGTGTTTCCAGATATGTTGTACACACTTCGGTCCCCTCTGGCTGCAATAACTTTCCCCGTTTTGGGACTTAAAAAGAATGCAGTTTCGTCGCAGTTAAAAACCCGACGAAGGTCTTGGAATATGTCCATCAAATCGTTTTCTTGGCAGTAGGTCTTCACTTCGGCACACCAAGAGGCCACACTTTCTTGAGTGATGGCAGCTCTGGAAGTTGTCAGAGTCTGGCACTCCCGGACTGCCAGATTCTTGTGGCGGCCCATAAACAATTCGTACCAACGTCTACCAGGCTTTTGATTGACAAATGGGTTCGGCTTTCCTGATTTGGCAAGCATGCGACCAGCACTGAATATAAGTTGCTCTTTAGTGACTGGAAAGCCTTTTGTTTTACAAGCCAGAACCCATTGGACCAAAACTTCCTCTTCGACGTCTGACAGAAGAGGTTTTCTCCCCAGCTTGCACTTCTCTTCATAGCGGCCGTTGATCTTGTCAAGAAGGGTCACTCGAGGAACACCGAAACGTTTGGCCGCCGACGAAGTTGTCTCCACACCACTTCTTACAGCCAGAATGGCATTTTGCATGTCCTCGTCTGCATATTGCTTCCTTTTTTTCGGGGGTGGCGTTTTCGCTGGAGGCATTCTAAAAAATAAAAATAAAACGTGATTAGAAAAAGGACAAAAACGACTAAGACCACAGCATATTAAAATGCTATACATGATTATAAATATGAAATACGATAGCAAAACATGTTTTAAAGTCAAGTGTCGGTATTTTTTTTCGTAAATTATTCATGAAAATAATACCGACAACGCCATGTCGGTATTTGGCAAAATGACGAAAACTTGCTCTGAATACCGACACCGGCCAAAAAATTACAAGAAACCGTTAAAAGCAAGATTTGAATTACACATTTAAAAACCTAAGTATCTAGATTCACATAAATATTAAAGTTAATACTAACACATATATGACAAATTACTTATTCGCTAAAGCAAATCCCAATGTTCGTAGTGAAAACCTGTAAGATTCTTACCTGAAATCACCGTAGTCGTGCACCGGCAGACGAAACTTGTCATAACGAACTCAGAAAAGGAGGGAACTCATATCTTCTTCTTCTTACTTGTAGAAAAAAACATCGCAAACGCATCTGGCTTACAATATAGCCGGTAGAGACGACAAGGACATTATGTTTTGTTATGAAATGTGGCTGTGTCGGTATTTAGTACATTGTCGGTATTTGGGGCACTTACAGGTAAATGCCCCAAATACCAACACCCTAAGACTCAATTCAAGTTTACATCTGCAAATAAATAATTATAGGTTATGTTAAGCTTGAGTATTATGGAGTTAATAATTTTGCCATGATATAAACTCTCAGATTACATAAATAGATAAAAGAAAAACATCCAATTAACAGTTTTTAAGCATCTTAAAGTTGGGGAAACACTCTTTGTACTTTTCTGGAAATACCGACAGCAATGAAACAAAATACCGACACCTCATGTCCTAAATACCAACATTATCATTTTAACACCAATTTAAGAGAGAACAGGAACATTATCATCATAATAAAGTATTT